TCTCCAGGATCAGCCTTCTTTTCCTACTTGCTTCCTACAAATAAGTAGCAAGAAATCATCCTGTATCCAACTGTGAAGGCTTCACAAATGTTTCTGAATGCTCCGGGTTTTTGTTTTGTTTTTTTGCTGAACTCTGACTCATGCCCCTGTTGATCATCCCTTGTCTCCTCTCTGGCCTTTTCGCTTTCTGATCCCCCCATGTCCATCTGGCGTCCTTCCTCTCACTGCTTTGATTAGGCAATGCCTCCTCCTTAAAACCTTGTCCCCACTCCTTGTCTCTTAATTGCAGAGAGAGCTTCCTTTCATCCTTCTACCCGTCACTCTGTCATCCTGAAACCTCCCAGCCCATTACATTCCCTTTTCCAGCTTCATCATCCAGAGCCCTTTGGGGAGTCCTCTTTCCGCAGTCCGTGCTGCCTGGTCTCCCTTGCTGCCCTTCCTTGCAGGGGCTTCAAAATTCTCCTTTTCTACCTCAGCTCCTTAAACCCCTCTGCCATCAAGCCCAAGCTCTTGCTCCCTTATTTCGTGATAGGGCAACTGGACAGGGACCTGTTAAACAGCTTCTTTGTGACAAAGTGCCAGGTAGTGCAATAACACAAGAGAAATAAATCAACAAGTAAAGGTCTAATAAATGTTAATATTCCTCTTTTTCTGCCACAAATTATGCTTTTTCTACTAGAGTTTCTCTTTTTTAAAGTAGCTGGTATATTGGGGCTGTAGCACACCCACCATGAGGATGGAGTTTAAATGTTTTCCTTTTTTTGGCCCTGCCAAATCAATCTCTCCCCTTTCACTTTCTCCCGCACACAGCTATTAATCCCAGCCATAACCTTTCATTAGTGCCAATGGGAGATTTCTTTCTCGGGTTAATAGCAAGCAGGGCTGTGCTGGAGCGGAAAAGGGTTAATTCATCCTTCCAAAATACTGTAGTTCCCTCTTTTTATGTATATTTTTCATATATTAGCCACGAGGAGGCAGCAGTGGGTGAACTTGGTCTGGGCTCAGAAGCTAAGCAGGGCTGGGCCTGCTAAAGACTTGGACGAGAGACCATCATGAAATCCCAGGATTGGAGGCTAATCTGAGGACTATGGAAAAACAAACAAACAAACGAAGAAGCATCTCAGGAGGAGATTCCACCCTGTGCCGTACTGCTTCCCTCACATGCTTCCATACCGTTGTCAAGAAAACTGCACAGATCGGTCCCCGATGTTACCAGGAGGGATCAAGCTCAGCGTAAGACTTTAGCAGCAGAGTGCGTGTCCTGCAGATTAAACCCTTTAGGTTACATCTGTGGATCAGGCAGCATTTTAGAGGCCAGGGAGAAGGTCAATAGAATAAATGAATTCATCAAATGCTCTCAGGGAGGTCCGATGGGTTCAGCAACTCCTTCTTTGAAGGCCAGCGAAGACCTTTGGCTGAAATTTCTAGGAGTTTGGGTTGAGTTTCCTCCAACTCCAAGGTCCCTCTGCCCCCACCCTGGTTGCCCCAGCTTGAGATGGCCTGCTTTCATTTCTCCAAGAGAGGTTCTCACCATGGAGCCTCCTCTCAGTCCCAGATGGTCTGAGATCCAGCAGGAAAGTGGTGTTTCAATGGGAGAAGGGAACAAGCGTTCGTATGCATTCATTGCCTAGCAGAGCAGCCAAAGAAAGTCCCTACGGGACTGTCCCTCCCATCCAGCCATGGGGCTCTATGCCTCCGGGGCTATTTCTGCTCCTGGAGAGGACCAGCTTTGCCCAGCAAGGTGTGGTCAAAAAAGTCAACTTAGAGCCTTGACCGTGTGGTTGAAGGTCCACCCGTTTTTATGGGCATCCTAGCCACAATTGCTTTTTTAAAATTTTTAATGTGGGTTTAAAAATGGTTAAAATAACGACATACAAGAGAAAAAAGTCTACACTGAACAGTGATAATGTACTGTAGAAATCATCTTTGGAATGATTATTTGGAACTGAATGATTTGAATGAGTTGAATCTCGACCCTCCAGAGGTTCTGCCAGGCATTCAGGCCGGGATCTTAGATGCACCCATCCTGGACGATGCAATGATAAGGGTTGACAAGCAAATGGTATGTCTGGTTTTTTTTAATTTTTAATTATGATTTTTGTTGACTGTTTTACTGTCGTGTTAGCTCAACGGAGTCCTTCCAGCAAGTGGGCAGCCATATAAATGGATTAAATAAATAAGGAAGCAAACGAGCAAAGAAATAAACATTACATATTTATACATATCAATATTATAGGTTTATATTTATTTATGTATTATATTATAGAATATAATATAGATTACATTTATATTTATTTATATTTAAATATGTATACATATATAAATATTTCGGTGGTTAAATCAGTGTTCCTCAACCTCAGCAACCTTAAGATGTGTGGACTTCAACTCCCCAAATTCCCCCACCCCCCCTCCTGGGCCGGGGACTGTTGGGGTTTGGGAGCCGCAACATCTCAGAGTGAGAGGGGG